GGATTAGATGATGAATTTGATATAGAAGTTCCTCAATTTGGTCGAATCAAACGTACTCGAAAGAAGATAGTTGCAAGAAAACAACATGATGATACTGAGGAGGAGCAGGAAAATGTTGCTCATAGTGTTCACAACCCTGACTTAGAAGGTGTCAAAGTTGAAGTAGTTTGGGTTGCTGAGGATGAAAAGCCTGTTGAAATGACTGGTCTTGAACGTGACTTACCAAGTGCTATGCAAAGTGATGCACATAAAAATCCTACTAGTGCTGCTTGGAATGATGTTGGTGACGGGGATGCTGCTGGTGATAGGGATGGTGTTGTTGACAGAAATGCTGGGAATGATGCTGGAATTGATGCCAATGTTGTTGTTGGAAAAAAAAAGAAAGAAAGGAAAAGGTGGTAGAAAAAAAGATCCGAATAGAAATACAAAGAATTATGGATTGCATCACAAAGGTTTTGTAAATGCTAGTGAATTTTATAGCTCACAGAGAGTAGAAGAAGATATTGAGCATGGGTATGCTAGTGAGACTTTGAAAAGTGATGACTCTGAGGAAGATGGCCTATGTAGGAAATATGAGCGGTTTAACATAGATTTGTTGAACAAAGACTTCAAGTGGAAGTTAGGATTGGAATTTGGTTCTATTAAAGAGTTTAAAGAAGCAATCTTAGAGTACAATGTGTTGAATGGAAAGGAGATAAGGTTTGACTATAACGATAAGAAGAGGGCCAGGCAAGGTGTAAACATTGTGCTGAGTACTCTGTGTATGTGAGCAAGGTCAGTAATTGTGAGACTTACAGGCTGAATACTTTGCATGATAAACACACATGTGGAAGGGTTTTTCATAATACATGTGCAAAGTCTTGCTGGTTGCCAAGGTTTTGATAAATAAAATGAAAGCTACAACTAGTGACATGGCATTGAAAGATATAGTTGGTGAAATTCAAGCCAATTATTCGACTGGAATATCAATGTCGAGGGCATGAAGGGCTAAACAAATAGCAAAAGGTGTCATTGATGGTGACTTTGTAATGCAATATAAACAACTTTGGAGGTTGAAAAATCTGGGAATCGGGTTGCATGTTGGGGTGGGGATGGAGATTTTGAGGTGAACCACTTACACAATGGTGAGAAGTTTATTGTTGACATAAACCAAAATTATTGTAGTTGAAATTTATGGAATTTGGTAGGCATTCCATGCAGGCATGCAGTGGCTGCACTGCAATTTAGAAAGTTGAACTTCATGAATTATGTTGATAGTTGTTATTCTAGGGATACATATATTACGTGCTATGCAAACAAGATTTCAGCCACAAATGGGCAAGATATGTGGCCTGAAAGTCAATTTGATGAGATTCAACCACCTAAAAATAAAAAGGGCCCTGGGTGACCAAAAAAACTGAGAAGAGAACTAGGTGAAATTGACCCAAATGTGACAAAACTGACAAGGGACTTTGGAAAGTATAGGTGTAAGAGATGTGGTGTTCAAGGACATAACACCATAACTTGTGCAAAGCTAGCACCAACACAACAACTAGCCAATCAAACACACACTAATGAAACACCAGCACCAGATCTGAATGTTGGACCATATACACAACATGTTGCACCTGAAGGAGTTACCACAAGAAAGAAGGTATATGCTATAATAATAACAAATTCATTGCTTATATACAAATACTAATCTTTTACCTTTTTGTAGGGAAGAAACATGAGACCAAAATTGGTGCCAAGAAGACCCTCCAAAGGAGTAACCACAACAAAAAAGCAAGTAGATCTGAATGATGAGAATGCTACAACAGAAACACCAATTACAGAAGGACCAACTCTAGAAGGACCAAGTGCACCAGAAAAAGAACCATAACAGGAACAGAGGAGAAAGGAATACATTTTTTTTAGGATTACTTTTGCTACAAAATGTGTATTTAATGATGTTCATCTTTTGGGGACCGTATTGTACCTTTTTATGACAACGAAACTATAAACAATGTGCATCGTGCAGTGTCCACCTTTTGGGACCACAATTTTGTGTCTTTCTGTCTGAGCATGCTATGTGCAATATTCAAGTAGTCAAATGAAAATTATTAAATTTGTAGGTACTAATGTATGACATAATTTTTGGTTGTGTTATGCAAAAACTACCATCATTCAGGTAGTATTATAAAAATTGTTAATATTTGAAGGTAGTAAGTTGTATAAGTTAGTGTTTCTACAACAACAAGATATGAAACATTGAATTCAATTGAATACTATTTCAGTTCAAAACATATTCAAAACATACTTGTTTACAGTGCAGATAAACCTTCATTGTTTTTGAAAATAAATTCAATTAAATATAGTTCACAATTGCATTCAAACCATTCAAACCATTAAACTGCATTCAAACCATCAAATTGCATTCAATTACAAACTGTTAAGAGTGTACATCTTTCCTACCAACATTGATTGTTATTACAATGCTTACAACTGTCATGAAAACCCAAAGCACTATTACTACAAATCCTAACATCTTGACCCTATTTCTCTCAACTAAAATCCTCTTCTTCTTGCGTGAAATTTTCAACTTCAATAACGCAAGTTGTTCATGAATAACAGAACATTCTTCCTGAAGCCCTGCAATTTCTTTTTTGCTTTTTGCAATTTTCTCTTCATTTGCCTTTTCTACATCCATTAAAGCACTAATTCTTAACTTCAACTCTTCAATTTCGCGAATATGACTCCCTAAGACAGATTCACCCACAGATGTGTTGTCACCATCTTTTACCCAAAGAAAAAAATTGCAACTGTTAGGTTCCTACAACCAAAAATTTAAACAAAATTGTTATAAACAAAGGAAAACCCTAAACCCTAACCCAATAGATGCCATTTGCAAAACACAAAATTAAAACCAACTTACGTTCCAATTATGACATCTCCAAAACCTTTTACTAGGATTATCTTTATTATGGGATGTCAAAATGATAGCGGGTTTCTTACATTTACAACTGATGGGTGTTCTTGTAAAAGACGAGAACGATGAACCACGGAAGGAACTCATTTAATGAAGACAAACCCAAACCCAACTTCGGTCAACGATGAAGACAAACGAAAAACAACCCTAACCCCTTCTCTCCTTCTTCTCTTTCTTTCACGGTTCTTCTTCTTCACCCACGAGAGAGTTCTTCTTCTTCTTTTAGGGATTTTTCAATTTGTTGTCAGACCCCTCTTTCAGTTTCTTATTAAGTCTCAAACGTGGAGAATGAGGTGGCCATTGTGTGCTGACATGACATACAACGTTGGGCGATGACATGGCAGTCCGTTTGCCACATCATCATTTAACAGAGGAAACTAACATCAGGTACTAATTTGAAAAAGAAATATTAGTCAGGTAATTTAAACAAAAAAAAATTTTAAAAAGTAGTAATCTGAAAATCGACCTAATTCGAGGTAGTTTAAACGTATTTAAGCCTATAATTATTATATATATTATTATATATTTATAATGGTCCGGATACACCAAAATGATAAAGATCCAAAGATAGTATAAGTATGAGATTGGATAGTTGAGGATGACTTAAATGAATTAATTTGTACTACTTATACTAACAACATGCATATACTTTTTGGTAGCTTATCTCATCAGAACTTCATAGTTAAGCGTGCTTGACTTAGAGTAATATAGGGATGGGTGACCTTCTGGGAAGTTTCCAGAAATTGTGTAATTAAGGACAAAACATGCTAAACAGTTAAGTATTGTGAAATAAAATCCTTAAGAGGCCAAATATGAGTGGTTCGTAGCGACCAAATTTGCGACGTCTATAAAATTTAATAAAATAAAAAATAAATATTTAGCGACCGATTTATTTGGTAACTAATTTGATTCCATACACTTCAACGACCAAAATCATTGCAACCATTTTGCGACTGAAATTTTTGGTCGTTAAACAGCGACTGAAAATTTTTCCATCGCTAAACAGCTTAGCGACCAGGGTTTTAGCGACTGATTAAATTCAGTCGCTAAGGTAAATAGCGACCGATTTTAACAATTTAGCGACCGATTTTGGTGGTCGTTAAATTGCATATTTTTTGTAATGACATTCGACCTCACATGCTAATATAATCATATAAAATAAAAGAAATAACAAAGGAATTCGATATAAACTTCATTGAATAGAAAAATCATTCATGAATTTCCTCAGATAGAGATATCACATATGAAACATAACCAAAACTAACAAATATAAAACAAGTGTCTAACAAAGTCATTACAATTGAGAATCAAATATCAATTTTATCCATGATAAAGATTAAGAAAATAAAAAATCCTAAGTTACTACTATGATGTCACATCCTAACAAAACTCGACACATCATCATCACATAAGGCCTAAGCCTCATCTCCAACATCATTTTTAGGATGATTCTCACTTGCAAAACATATACAAGAACACAAAGGCAAATAGAGGGGAGTGCAAACATCTCACTGTGATTGTCAATGTAAGATATGGCCGAGTAGCCACATACAACAAAACAACATACATATATAAATAAATTCATCATCATGGTATAGCAGTCACAACTCAAACTCACTTAGCATATTAACAAGTCATGATTCATATCCATGTCATGTGCACAAGCTTCTCTAGTTTATATGTACGTGACACCAATAAAACACTTCAATCATTGGTCAAAGCCATAAATAGAGTAGCCTAGGAAAACATGTCAACTTAAGCCACCATAACACTCTACACTAAGAGAAGATACATCAGGACACTACAAAAAATTATGTAATTAGTAAGGATTTTTTTCTGGCGGTTTCAAAAAATCACAAAATATTATATTTCTGGCAGTTATTTTAACCGTCACAAAAGAATGATATTTTCAGCGGTTTAAAACCGCCACAATCTTTAAATACCTCTCCGTGTCATCCATTTTTTTATATTATTTTTAAACAAATAAAAATCAAAAATAAAAAACTTCGTTCCCTATTCTTTTCTCACTTCGTTCCCTCCCTCAATCACTCCCCCACTCGCTTACTCCCAGTCCCTCACTCACTCCCAGCTTTTCTTGCTTTCCTTCAATCGCAATTCACACCCAGTCACATTCTCGGTAAGGCCCTATTCCCCCATTTTTTTATTTAAAAAAAAGAGATAAAATGTTTGAAAAGAGACAAGTTTCTCGAGGAAGGATCCAAAGGCCAATGAATGGTTATAGTTTTGCAGAAGTTGTTGATCGCAGTGGTATGAGACAAGATTCAATTCATTCGCTCCTCTCTTCTCCTTAGAGAAATTGAATCAATAAAATTCAAATGGACGCTATAAGAAAGCAAGCATTGAAGCTTCGGGAACAGGTTGCTCGCCATCAACAGGTTCTCACACTCTTCACTAGATCCTTCACTTTCTTCGTTCCTTCTCTGAATTTCGGTATACCTTCTCATGCTTTTCATTTTGTTTGCTATGTATCGTTGCTATTTTCCGATGCAATTTTCATTTAACTCCTCGTAATTGTTATCCTCGTGAATATGAATCATGTTACACCGTAGAGTGTTGGATATAATAGAATTTCGCACTTGCATTGCGGAAATCAATCAATAAATAAAACGTTGATTAGAGTTGAATTTTAAATCGGTGTCTTATCTTGCTTACGCGTTGAGCTCGGTAGCTGAATTCAGCCTCACCGAGTAATGCGCATGTATATGTTTCCATCTCAATTACGGCCAAAACTTAGATGCATTTACACATCGTTGATGCATGTACTTTTAGTGTTCTTCAATTAAATTTGGTGTTTCACATCGTTGATGCATGTACTAAAGGTTTCTATTATTGGTCAATGTAGATTTAAGAGGTGAAACTACAATTATGATGGAAAAACAACACGAAAATTGGTCAATATGAAGCTACAATTATGATGCGAAAACAACATAAAAATCACATATAGAACTATATCTAAGATTTGTCCTTCATTAATTGTGAAGATTTTCATTTCCCTTTTTATTCCTGTTTCTCAAAGGTTACTTCGTTTTGATTAGTTCATTTGAATCATTTCTCAATTATCAACTTGCTAATGAAAATTCAGAATTATTGCTATTTAGGCTGTTCTGAAACAGTTTGGAGGTGGCGGTTATGGAGGTTCAGATAATGTGGTTACCGATGGAGTGGAGCTGCAGCTACACCAGAAACTTGAGAGACTTTATATATCAACACGTGCAGGGGAGGTTAGTTGGTTCTTTGATTTCAATTCTTTGTTTCCATTCATAGTTTCTGTTGATTTATCCCATCTCCCTTCGGCTGATAATAGCTTCTAATGTGATTTCAGCATTATCAAAGGGATATTGTTCGTGGTGTAGAAGGTTATATTGTTACTAGGTCCAAGCAAGTGGAAATAGGTGCATAACATTGGTTATGAAGCTTTTATAAAAGTTTGTTGCTGTTAGTTAGCATAAATATTGTTTTTGAACTCATATGCATGTTATGTAACAGGAGCAAAGTTGTCGGAAGATAGCAGGAAATATGGTGTAGAAAATACATGTACTGGTACTACATTGTGTAGAGCTGCACTAAGTTTTGCACGAAAGTTTTTAAAGAGTATTTAAATAATTAGTGAATAACTTTTCTGATTTAGGCCTAAGGGGTAGGGTTGTTGGATTGTTTGAAATTAGTCCCTTGTTGGTGAAGGAAGGCATTCTGTTATGTCCTATTCATGTAGGAATTTAATATATTTTCCCCATTTTATTATGTGCTATACATAGTAAATGATCCTTTTTTTTTCATGTAAAGAAAGTATATGGTGCAGAAGTGATTGCATGGTCAGAGAAAATGGGTGGAAATGTTTGCAATTGCAGACCACAGTCTTGGAATTCAGGGTCATCCCGAGTATACAAGAGATATACTATTTCATCTGATTCATCACCTTCTCAATAAGAATGTCATAGAGGTAACTTCATAGCATTATTATTAATTAGCAAATTTCACAGTTTTTGTATTAAAGTCTTGGACCTTATTGTTATAATACAGAAAGGATTATTAGTGGAAGATTTGAAGTGTCGATTTGAGTTGGCCGAGGCAGATAATGAGTGCTGGGAAAAGACATGCAGGAACTTTCTCAGGGGGAAACAGAGCTCAGGCACTTTCTGAGCACAGTTGGAAGGCAAGCCACTATGGAATTACAAAATTAAATGAAATATGTAACAAATATGTTAAGATAAAATTAGGGGTTCACAATATGTAACAAAGTCTTGTCTAAGTACACCGTGTATATACATTTCCTATTTAACTGCATGCATGGTTGAATTGGGTAATGGTATAACAGAAATTATAAAATTACAAATTAAAAATAATTAGTAGCAATCTCTGACACTTACTTCCTAATATTTTATTTATTATTGGTTAAAATAATAAATTTTGGTGAGTCTTACTATTCAATTATGATATATTAAATGAAATATAACATTCACAAAATTTTTGATAAAAAAATTTAACCAACAACAAGAATAATATTAATAAAAATGTATTAGAAAGAGTATAGTTAGCATTCATGAAATTATGCTTGTTTTTGGTTTGTGGTTGAAAAATGGTAAATATATGTTTTGTTCACATTAATTGCTATAAATTATTTGATATTGTACTTGTGTAGTGTTTACAAGGATTGGTGAGAAGATTATGAATATTGTCCATTATACTATAGTCGGGTGTTGCAAGATTTACCATTGCAGGTGATTTATTGCTATTTTTAGCAGGGAAATTGAAAGGTAGCCTTTTTGCTTCTTAATCTTGGTACTGGTCAATCAATAGCTAGTATTGTGTTAATATTTCATGAGATTAAATGAGGTATTCTATCACAGGTTCTGTGGTATTCACCTTTTATATGTATACATACACTAGTGCATTACTGAACTGATTTTCGGCTTTAACAAATCTGTTCCTTAGTACCAAATTACCAATAACAATGGAATTTGATATGGGGAAACTTGGTGGTTATGAGGTGGCTTTATTTGGCCTAATATCAAGTTGGAACAGTATTGAAGATTGTATAGTTCAAATGCAATCAATTAGTGTCATATCTTATTAATGTGTTCCTAGCATCAATTCTAATTCTGTTTTCTTGTTGGGATGGCTGCAATCTATGACTGAAGCTCTTTAAATCATTCACAAAATTCAACTCTCACAATTTTTTAAATGGACAAAGATAGCTTACTTTTATACAATGGTAAGAAAATGTCCAAATTTCCTTCCATACCCAATTTGTCAGTTTTTTTCCTTGCATTATATCTTCTGTTTTTGTTTTAATTTGAAATTAATGGTTTATTTCCGGGTCAACTTTACAAGGGTGCAATTGGTTATTCCAGCAGAATTTGTTTGCAGATTGACACTACAATGATGTTCCCTGTGTCAGTTGCAGCTCCTGCAGTGGTTGTTCATAGACAAGTGAGCTTTCGGTTAATTCAATACTATCATGTTTATAAAACAGTGAAATCAATATACCGCCATACCTTGATGTTTGCTGGATTTTGTTACTGATTGAGGTAAATTTTTTTGACCCCATCAATTTCTTTATTAAATGTTTTGTTCTGGCCAAAGGTGATATAATTGAATACAATCATCAGATGCCAGCTGTTCCAGTCAGAACAACCAATGCTCTTACACTTTCCAGTATGGAGATGGTAGTGGGACATGAGGCTATTACGTGCCAGACATGATGCATTTGAATGATGTTCTTGAGGGTTCTTTGACGACAAATTCTTCAGTGCATGTAGTTTTTAGGTGACCTTTCATTAGCCTGAAATGATTGATACCATCCCTATTTTTCATGATTTGATCTTTGACAAAGCTTGATGGAGAAAATGGTGTTATGTTTGGATTTGGGCAACATGAAATTCATGTCATTTCCTAGCTCTCCCATTGTCTGAAAAGAGATAGCAATGGAATGGGAGGGAGATATTTTTTCTTGGTGTGATGGTAGAGTCAAACATAGTTAAACAATCATGCTTAAATTGAATAGGATTATTATAAATAACTATATATTTTTTCTAAGTATTTACTATAACTGTATATTTAAAATTTAAACTTAAAAAAAAAACTCTATGTTATTTAATCACGCAATCATATCACAGTTAGTTCTTTCATCAGAATAAAAATGCTATATTTTGATATACTGTCAAACTTATATTTCTTTTGGTGGTTTTTAAGTAAACAATGTATATATGCTAATATGTACATAATTAATTCGCTGACTATACATGAGTCAATTGCAAAAATTTCCTTGTCAACCACGGTTTTAAACTGCCAGAAATGCTTAATTAGGAAAAATCTAGATGAATTTTGTGGAGGTTTTAAACTGTCAGAAGCTGTAAAACAAGTAACATAAAATACATTTTGTGGTGGTTTAAATGTTGAATGAGGAAAAATTTAGATGAATTTTGTGGAGGTTTTAAACTGTCAGAAGCTGTAAAACAAGTAACATTAAAATGTATTTTGTGGCGGTTTAAAATCGCCACAAAGTGATTGAATTTTCTGACGCCCAAAACCAGCGTTTACAAAATATACACCACAAACTGTTTTTGGCGACTGTGGACCTAGTGGTTATTGATGACGCCGATAATGCGATTTGTGGCAGTTTTTAACCGCCAGAAACGACAAAAATAACCGTCATAAATCACACATTTTTTTGTAGTGGGACATGTTAGGACAATAGTGTTGCCCATGTTACACCTTATGCACACAACACATGCAAAATAAGGGCTCTCAAACCCAATTATCCCCAAGGTCATGAATCCCAAAGCTAACAAGAGGAAGACCTTCCTTAGTTATTGTATTTCTTATCATGCCCATTAAAACATTTATGCTTATGATACATGTCACATAAGACCCAATGCATAGTTCACATGATATGTATTCATCGTCACAAGTTCACATCATAGATCACATTCATGTCGCTACTAAGCAATCATGCCCAAACTTTATCTTGGAAAATCCTCAGCTTAGATTTCATGTCACATTACTATCACATCATCCACATATAAACACATATCATACATCATCGTGAACAACCTCAAAGATAAGCACAAGGTCAAATTATGCTATTAAGTTACACATAATCCATTACTCAATTAGCATACTATATTCTTTAATTAAAAAAGGTCATTACATTGCTTATGTACTTCAAAACACATCATTAAGTACATAAAACAAGTAATTGAGAACCTATAGGGTGTCGCTCGACATTGAGCACCCTACACCTAGCACAATTCACAAAGAGAACATATGTTGCTCTTTGGAAGACCCACGTTCGGCGTCACGCCCAATGAGATTGCACCAGGGAGCTCCTTGAAGCTCCAAAGTCTAGTGTGGATCATCCCACGCCCGACGTATGAGTCACATAGAACAACTTATGCCCTTTGTTGCTCCCATGCCTAGTGCCCCTTAAGGTTCATAATGCCATGCCAAAAACTTCTATGCAAAAAGTGCAAAAAATCGCACTAAACATACCAACACGCAAATCATGAAACCCAATTGGTAAAAATGTGCATAAATCCTAATTCTACACAAATAAGTCATGAATTAAACATCCAAAACATCAATGTAACTTACAAATGCACTTTACTTTATACTTTAGACTTCCCACAAGAACTACAAGAACTTAGATTCGTGATTTAGGCAATTAACATGAAATCAAATATACATATATTTCATTCATCACAAATAAAGCACATAAGTATTCTATGAAACATAAGTTCACAACATACTTAAACAGATAAGGGATAAGAGATTCCTCCCTCACAATATACTTAAACAGATAGGAGATTAGGGGGCCAATCTCCCTACCTTACAAATTTAGAGTGAAACTACTCATTCACTCTTACATTGATGAATGTTGGATGATGGGTGTGAAATTCCAAGATGATCTTCAATAGCCTTCAATTGTCCAAGATTTTCACATGTAAAGAGAAGCATGAGAAAGCATAAAAAAGGAAACTAACGCTAACCCTCGTTTAACTCATCAGTTAATAGAATAAACCACAATTACCCTTTTTTTTCCCTCACATTAATTAAATAAAGCATTTAATTAAAGAAACATAAAATAAAACATACTTCTTCCAACATATATATATAT